TGAAGAAAGGGCACTTCGACGTGGTGTAATGGTTAACAAGATTGTCTCACAAGAACAATTACAAGTGAGTACTGAGTTCGATCCTCACTGGGTGCTTCATGCTTTGGACCTTAATCACACATCTAATCTACACTTGGTGAATCGCTATTTTCCTTCAAGTTCACCCACACCTCAATTAGAATTCATATAACCGATCCATCATTAAAAATACTGATAAAAGGAGAAGTTCCTTATAGCTCCCCAGAAGCTGTCTGCCTCTTTCTACCATGCTGTATCGTTATGTTAAATATGGGTTATTTAATGCCGATAAAATTTTTATCGTTGGTAATATTTTTTTCAAAAGTATGTTGCTGGTAATATTTTTCCTTCAAAAATATATTTCTGGTAATATTTTTCAAAAATGTATTGCTGGTAATATTTTTTCTTCGAAAATGTATCGTTGGTAATATTTTTTTCAAAAATGTATCGCTGGTAATATTTTTTTCAAAAATGTATCGTTGGTAATATTTTTTTCAAAAATGTATCGTTGGTAATATTTTTTTTCAAAAATGTATCGCTGGTAATATTTTTTTCAAAAATGTATCGCTGGTAATATTTTTTTTCAAGAATGTACAGCTGGTAATATTTTTTCAAACAGAAGTCGTTGGTATTTTTTTTTTCAAAAATGTATAGCCGGTAATATTTTTTCCAAAAATGTATCGCTGGTAATATTTTTTCTGTAATGTATCGTTGGTAATATTTTTTCAAATATGTATCTCTGGTAATAATTTCTTTACAAAGTATTTCTGGTATTAAAACTCATTTTTACACTTTCATAGTGGTTTGACCCTGGTTTGGTGGCCAACCACCTGCTCATAGCTGGGACCCCAACAGGTGCCACCACTCCGGGTCAGGGTGGACCCGGGAACACCAGCAATCACGAGGAGGTTCCACGCTCCTCAAAACCTCCTAATCAGAGGCCTTGCTGTTGGACGTAATTTATCGTCTCACTCAGGACGCGGATGTAGTTTATCGGCATACCCAGGACGGCAAGCTGTATCGTCATAAGAGTCAGATCGTGCCCAAAATGAAGTATTGCTGACATATCCGGGATGGAGTTTTCCAAACCTCATTTTCCAGCCTCACAAAGTTCAGAAGCGGGTGATGAAACGTCGTAAATCTGTTGCTGCTCGCTATTTCGGGATGCAGAATTAATTTCAACTCGGAACTAAGGGTTAGGGCTTTTAAATCGAGTTGAAATTAGTTCCGTCACTCGCTATTTCCATGGAAGACGTTCTTGTGGGCTACATTTCTTAGTTTGTCAGTTCAGACCTTTACAGCTATGACCCATCATGCCACGTTCACAGAGCCGAATCATCCTCATTCCCATCGTATTACGTTGGTATGAAGGAAGTTACTGTCGGACCGCGTCTGTCCAATAACCGCTACTTTGTGGCAAAAACTCCCGAGAGGATGCTTCCCCGATCACGATAGTCGTAGATCAACCCTTATTTGTCCCGTATATAATCATAATCTACACATATGAAATGATTATATAAGTTCTTGCAAAAAAAAAATGAATAAAACAGTCAAGTATTGATTATTCAAAACCACAGAGAAAGTACCAGAAATTCACTTAAGAACAACATTTTTTTTACAATAAGTTTCACCCATTACAAGGCTCATGGGCCACTCGAACTAGAGCATTTCGTAAACTATTGTGGTTTTTAGATGCTGTAGAAAAGAAACCGTGGAGGACGTTCATCGTCATTTTATTATTTTTTTTATTACTATCAATGATAATTTTTTCGCCGTACCTGATTTTATTTGCCAGAATTCACCGTCACTTGATCGCTTCGTATCTTTCCTTTCATTAGAACAAGAGCGAGATCCGTTATTATCTGTAATCTCCAGTTTCGTCGTGTCGCGTAATTCGAGTCGAGAAATGTCGGGTGTCGTTTTAATTAAATGCCGTACACAATTGCGCGATAAAAAGTTTTTAGACGACGATCAGCCGGACATGGCGTGTGAGTTGTCCGTTTGTCTATTAAGCGAGCTTGCATCACTACACGACGCTGTGTATCTGTCCCTTGTGAGACAGCATCGATCATCTGTACACAGCACGTTTTGTGGCACCAGATGATAACTTGTCCAATAGGCTGACTAAATCAATGCCTGAAGTTTAGATACACGCGTGAAATATGACACATCTTGCAGACATACATATAAACACACACACACACACTCGTCCTGGGTAAGACGTTAAACTACATACGCGTCCTGAGTAAGGGGATAAACGACGTCCAATAGCAAGGCCCCTGATCAGGAGGTTTTGAGGAGCGTGGAACCACCTCTTAATTGCTGGTGTTCACAGGTCCACCCTGACCAAGGGTGGTAGCACCTGTTAGGGTTCCAGCTATGGGCAAATAGTTATCCCCGAAACTGAGGTAAAAAGCTTTATAAAAATTTAAAAATAAGTTTTAATACCAGAAATACTTTGTAAAAATTATTACCAGAAATAAATTTTTGAAGAAAAAAAAACAATTACCAGCAATATATTTTTGAAAAAAAAATATTACCAGCAATACGTTTTTAAAAAAAAAAAATATTACCAGCAATACATATTTTAAATTAATATTACCAGTTATACAATTTTGAGGAAAAAAATATTACCAGAAATAGATTTTTGACAAAACAAAATATTCCCGGAAAAAAAAAGTTGTCGTCATTAAAAAACCTATTGAGGTTGATATGCCGTAAAACACAACAAACCAAACATATACATACACACACACACACACACACACACACACACACACATATATATATATATATATATATATATATATATATATATATATTAAATCCTCTGGGCTATTTTCTAAAATTGATGACTTATTATAGCTAGTTCATTCCCTGGGCCGGGTACTACACCTTTAGATTCATTTAAAAAAAAGAACTAGCAATTATTGGGTACTAAAAGGAAAAAACATATAAAACGCAAAGAGACAACTCTACTCTCGTAGATGAAAAAAAAAGCTCTGTTCGAAATTCCACAAGCAAAAGACAATTGAAAAAGGCCGTAGAACACAACGGCCGAAACGTTGTAATGGTAGCAACAAACATTGAGGATATTAGTCCGTCTGTAAATCCGGGACTAGATGAATTTAAACGTGCCAGGCTGGCATCTCAGTCCCAAATTTTCACTTTCAAAACGGTTAAATGTCACCGTCTCTTCGTCTCAAACAGCTTCTTCTCCCGCACTTCCTGTCTGCGGAACGACCTTCCCCTTATTTGCTTCCCCGATAACTATAATACCGAAATATTCAAGTGTAATGTCAATCGACATCTGACACCCTGAGCTTGTTCCTCGTCCTTCTCTGTATCCTTTCCTCAAATACGCCTCTTTACTCTTGTTCTCAATCCTCTGGAACCCCTTGCGTGCTTATGGCACTCCCGCCTTGCTTGAGGGGAATTGCCTTAACAAAAATTATGATAAGTTCTCTTACCTCTCTAAAATTTTTATTCAAACATTTTCAGCAACACATCTATATTCTAAACTTCCTGACAAACATGAATAAAACCTGTCCGCAATAAGCCGTCAAATGGAGGATTTCTTCTCTGGCACTCATTTTTTAACTACCTTCACTCTTCGATAATTTTTTATGATTCAGAAAGATATGATTAGAATTGGAATAAAACCGAAACATAAAAGTGATTTAATACATTTTTTTTTTTTTTTTTTTGGAGGCGGGATTCTTGAGAATCTACAACAAAAATATTAAACTTTCTGGATCACACAATCAATGCTTTTATCCGTACTCGGGAACAAGTACAACTTGGTCGGAAATTAGAACGATGAATTCTTGATATCTGTCTATATTTCTGAGATGGGGTATTATGTACACTATATACATTATTCGGACTATTGTTCTCAACTTTGTCGCGATATTTATTACAACGTTTCGGCCGTTGTATGCTCCGACTTTCTTCAGGTGGTTGAAATGTCAAACTGAACCCTTTATTTCGCTTACTGGGGTAGACTGTTTTAGTTCCACGTGCCATGTTTAATGGATGTCAGTTATCAGTTATCTCCTGTTAATTCCCCTCTCCAAGTTCTCTACTGCCTTAACTCACATTCTCTGGGTCCTGGCACAGTGGATAAAGGTGTTGGTTAGATCCAGTGACAGGACCCAAAGAGTGTGAGTTCAATACCCGGTTAAGGCTGTGGAGAACTCGGAGATGGGAATTAAAAGGAGATAACTGATAACTGACATCCATTAAACATGGCACGTGGAACTAGAACAGTATAACCCAGTGAGCGAAATAAAGGGTTCAGCTCGACATGCCAACCACCTGAAGAAGGCCGGAGCGTACAACGGACGAAACGTTGTAATAAATATAGCGACAAAGATGAGGACAATATTCCGAATAATGTAAATAGTAAATTATTGATGTTTAAATTCTCTCTACCTGAGTCTTGAAACATATTTTTACTAGGAAATCGACTTTCTTTGCTTTTTACCATATTAATATTACTTACGTCAATCTTCGTGTTAATCTTAAAGCCGTTTTTTTTTATTCCTTTTCTTACCATTCCAATATTTTCAATATATTTTTTTGCTTGCTTTCTGTTCTCTGTTCAACTTATTCGCAATTTCTAGTGTTGTTTTCCTATCACTCAATCATTTTACACTATTTTGCTTTTCTTTTGAGGTCATCTTTTTCTTACGGCCCATGGCAATTTTTATACATCTGAAATTTAAAGAAAAACTACGTCTCAGTAACTATACTAATATATAGGTTTATTTACAATATGATGAACAACCCACAAGTTTAATAATAAAAGCTAACACAACCAAACTACCTATTGTAAATATTTTTAATAAAAACAGTTATTATCTTCTTGAAATTCACAGGCTATATTTATTATGAGAATATATGTGTATGTTTTTTCACAATGTTGTTTGGTGAATATGAATTTTATTTTGAAGACATAGACTTGTATCATAAAACCTTACATAATAGATAGATAGATAGATAGATAGATAGATAGATAGATAGATAAAGTGTGTATATAGATGTGTTTTCCTATTCATGTCTACGTGTATAATCATAGTTATATCGACGTGTGTAATCATATTTAATATCTATGCGTGTATCACTGAAACGAGGTTGGTTCAAAACTGGAATATTCATTTTAATGTTTGGAAAATTACTCTTGGGCAGATGAAATTGTTATTGGATTTTTAATTTCGCACAATTTGTGAGAAATTACCTTACCATTTGTTGGCCTAACCATTATCTATTTTGCATCAATACATTGTACACACATACACACACACATACATATATATGTATATATATATATATATATATATATATAGGTCTCCAATGTACGAGAAATGAAAATTCGTGTGAGGAAATAAGTAAATTTAATAAACAAAATTTGACAAAATTCCCTAGTCATTCCTCAAAACAAATTGATTAAAGAAATAATGCTAGCCACAAAATACACACACACACACACACATATATATATATATATATATATATATATATATATATATATATATATATATATATAAATTGTGTATGTGGGTAGTAATACCTCTTTTATACAAGTTTCTATGAAAACGACTTATAAGGTGCAGTGGTTCTGTTTTTTATATAATTTTTCATGTGTTCGTATGAATTTGGGGATTTTCAGGACATAAATTTTATAAAAATATGTCCGAATGGTTTCCAAGCGCTTTCGGCTATACTGTTAGCCATGATGAAAGAAGGATTTTATTTTACTTTTAGCTGAATGTATGGATTGTTTTATGTATGTGTCTAGAGTTATGATTAAAACAAGCATTCCATATCCATGAGCATGTTTGAGAAATCAGCTCACCATCCGCGCTTCCTCTTTGTTCCCTTGGTGTAGAGTTACACTACGGGCACATCAAAGGGAAACTGTTCTATTGAATTTACACGAACGTATCCACAGAGGTGGGGTTGAAATGACATTCATGATTTGTCTATTTACGATGAAGATACCTGCTGTGTAACGGAAAATCAAATCTCCAACACTAATTAATTTCTCTTGCCTTGAAATAATTAAATCGTCAATTTAAAAATAAATTGTAGAAATTCGTTTTCAGAGTTCACGGATGTTTATTACTCTGCGCTTTCACCTTTCAAAATTATTATAAGATAATTGGGGAACAGGAGATCGGATTGTTTCGGTAATATCATCTTACAATTCCGAAAACTTCTATAATATTCCAATTAATGTGGGTACGGAGGTAACCTTGCTTACTTTATGGGCATCCATTTTTATCGCTTCTAATAGATGTGGCGTATAAGCAGCTTTGCTTTCTTCATAGATATCTGTTTTAAAGCGTCTAATTGTTGTAGCCACAGAGTCAGACTTGCTTCTTCATGGATATCTTTTTCTAACACTCCTAATTGTTGTGATCGAAGAGGGAGCCTTGCTTTCTTCATGGGCATCCATTTTTAATGCTTCTAATTGATGTGGCCACATAAGTAGTTTTGCTTTCTTCATGGATATCCGTTAGAATGCGTCTAATAGTTGTATCCACAGAATCAAACTTGCTTCGTCATGGACATCTTTTTCTATCACTCCTAATTGTTGTGGCCGAAGAGGTAGCCTTGCTTTCTTCATGGCCTTCTATTTTTAATGCTTCTAATTGAAAAGCGCTTTTCATCGAACTCAACTGGACGGTCAGAACGACGTGCGTCTTTGAGGTTAGAATTTCCATTTTTGAACTTGACATACCAATCCCGAGCAGTTCTTTCAGCTATGATACCCTCTCCATACACAACACAAATGTTGCAAGCAGCTTTTGCGGCCTTAGAACTTTGATTAAAAGCAAAAAGAAAGTGCCGAAAATGCTCATTTTTTCTTAACTTGAGATTCCATTTTAATGATCTGAAAATAAACAGAAATTAACTTAAATTAACTCAAAAAAAACAAACAAACAAAGTAGATTACAAAATGATTCCAAAATAGAATTCTCGAAAAAAATAGATTCCAGAATTTTAAAAAAAAATTCCGGCGGGAACTTAGTTGCCAATAGTTAGTGGTTAGTCCTTTTTTTCCTCGTTTTGTTTTACCAAACCGTCTAGGAGGCCTGTAGTTTTCTTACCGAGTTAGCCATATTCTTCTCTTTTATAAGCCGTGCCCATTCAGGACGTAGGTGATGATGGCCCTCTACATCTGCCTTAGCTCTTAATTTTTTTAATTTTTTTTTTTTTGCAATTTCCCTAAATCCTGTTCTAACAGCCATTTACTCAAGCCCATCAAGTATGTTATGCACTGTTTTCCTCTGTCCCTCTTTCCCTCAATCTGTCCTCTGAGTATCAGATTTTCCAAGCCCTCCTTCCTCATTACGTAAGGGCCGACTATAGGCGATCGAGGAAGCGTGAAACGAAATGAGGGGTGAACAGTCTAATCGGTGTGTATCTTCCTTTTTGCATTGCGAGCAAACGGTCCTCTGTCTCAGGTTACTAGGGAACACTGTCTTATAGAGAAGCAACTTTTTTTTGTCCTATCAAAAGACGTCATTCATCAAATTCGTTTCATTCATCTGACCTCCATTGTCAGGGTCGTTTGACATGATTCTTGTGAGGTCAGCTTTACTTAGCTGACCGTCATTGTCAAGATGATAATTTTCAAAACGATTTCTGTAACATCCTGAAGTTGTTTCCTTTAAAAAAAAAAAAGATATCTGCTGACAACTGATATCTCTATAATAGTGTTGATAGTGTTGGTTTGTATAACAATGTGTTTTGATTCATTGATTTTATCAGAATACTCAACCGTTCTCTTTCGCTTTGAATAAGAAACAATTAAAGCATTTAAGTGTATTCAGAATGTGTAGACCTCAGTATTTACATGAAAGGGGGAAATACATTGAAAATACTTTTAAGCTCCTCCAATACGCAATATCAAGGTGGTAAAGGAAAGTCAGAAGAAAAGACTAATCATTAATTGTAAGACGACAGAATCTATGGCCGTTAGCAAAAGTGACACTGTAAGAGGATTGCTACAAAGGTGACACGTGATAATCAAGCAATTTCAGAAATTGAAATTTTTAATCAGTTCACCCCATGCAAGGCAGTAAAGCCGCTAAAACTCAAGGAGTTACAAAATGTGAAATAATAAGAAAAAAGAGAAATATTATTACGGAGCGAGAACAATAGAGACGTAATCAAGAAGACAGAAGACAACGATTGACATTAAAATGACATTTTTCAAGATCATAATTTCCCGCAAAGCCCAGAACCGGAAGAGAGTTCCACAAGCGACAATTGCGAGAAAAGAAGCTATTAGCATAGAACATACGGTTATATCTAGCCAATTCAACTACGAATTGATGAGACCTTGCCGCCAATCCAGTAATGCGCTTAAAGTCATACCATAGTAAAGAGTTCATCTGAACAATTACCATGAAAAAATCTATAGAAAAGGTAAAAGGAAGCTTGATTATAACGGTGGGAAAGTGACTGAAGCCGAAACGCCAGGTAAGGACTAATAATATTGCAGATTCATCTTTGGAGTTTATCAACAATCGCCAAATATGCAGGAGGATCACTAGACCATAAGTGACAGCAATATTCAAAGCAGGGACGAATGGTAGACTTATAAATGTGTAAGATAGTTTATAAAGAGAAAAAAACACAACAATTAACACAATTGTCTAACAGCAATGGATTCAATATAGTCTTTCCACTTCATGTCTGCCGAGAACGTAAGTCCGAGAAGATGAAATGAGTGACTCTCCTAAAGGTTAACATCAGCCATGTTGATGGAAGTCAGAGAGAGGTCTCTCAGATGATTAATAGAGAGTAGCTTAGTTTCAGAGGCATTAAAATTAACAAGCTATCCTTTGCCCCAGATAACAACAGACTGACGTTCGTTTTTTCATCTGACGCCAATTTGACCTTATTGAGCCGAAAGGTTAACATCAGCCATGTTGATGGAAGGCAGAGAGAGGTCTCTCAGATAATTAATAGAGAGTAGCTTAGTTTCAGAGGCATTAAAATTAACAAGCCATCCTTTGCCCCAGTTAACAACAGACTGACGTTCGTTTTTTTCATCTGACGCCAATTTGACTTTATTAAGCCGATCGGAGGGTGAAAGAATGTAGGTAAAGGAAAATATTAAGGAGCGAGAACAATAAAAGAACAGGAATTAAGAAGACGTGGGATATCGATTGGCATTGCATTTAAATTTTTGAAGATCAAACTTGACTGGGAAATAACAAGCCGGAAGAGAATTCCACAACCGAGAAGTGCGAAAAAAGAAACTGTTGACATAGAACTTACGGTTACATCCAGCCATTTCATCTGTAATATTATAAAGACCTTGTAGACTTAAATTCCTTAAGTCTATGTACCATAGAGGAAAGTTCATCAGAACAATTAGCATGAAAGTATTTATAGAAACGGGACAGGAAGCTACATTACGGCGGTAGGAAAGTGACTGAAGCCGAGATGACAGTTCAGAACTAATAATATTGCAGATTCTTCTTTGGATTTTATCAAGAATCCATAAATATATAGTAGGATCACCAGACAATATCCAACAACAATATTCAAAGCATGGACGAATGGTAGACTTATAAATATGTAAGATAGATTCTAGAGAGAAAAATTGTCTTGCACGACACAGTGAACCAAATTTCTTAGCAGCAGACCTAGCAATGGATTCAATACAGTCTTTCCATTTCATGTCAGCCGAGAATGTTAACCCTAGAAGGCAAAACGAGTCATTCTCGTGGAGGGTAGCGTCAGCCTTACTGTTGAGAGACAGGAAAGTATCTTTCAGGTGTCTGATAACGAGAAGTTTCGTTTTGGAGACAATAAATTTAACAAGGCATTCCTTGGACCAGCTAACAACAGATTGTAGGTCATTTTTTGACATCAAATAACTGGGGAATGTTTTTAAAAAAATGCGGAGCAGAAAACTTAAAACGTGTTGGAATAGCAAATGTCTTCGAAATTTAATGAAAATATTAAGAAACATGAATTTTTTTTTTAGAAACAAGAAATCATTGTTGAACTTTATTGCAATATCGTTACTTCCTTT